GATCCAAACTTCTCTATGTCCTCATATCTCCTGCCCTCTCCACACTTGGAACATATGCTCACCTTCTACTTTGGGGCAGAAATGGAGCCCTGAAGGAAACTGGCTCAATTTCCTGCCTCAGAGAGAAGGAACTACCTGTGGCCACAAGATAATTTCCTCTTTTTTTCCTAATCAGAATTGTCCTTCCTCTGTTGGTTGGCAATGTCTCCTTCTCACAGATCTCACACAGCTATCCCTTCTCTGCCTTTCTCATCATCTACCGGCTCCCTGCCGTGATGAGGAAACGTGGGCACTCCTGGACCCAGGGTTCCCTCAGTTCCTGCTCTACTCTCTCAGCCCCATCACAGCCACATTTCTTGAAAGAGCGTCTGCATCTGCACTTGCTGCTCCCATTCTCTCTCCCCCAGCACTTCAACCATGCCCCGGAGTCTCTTCCCACACCATACTTACTCCTTCACTGCTAAATTCAATGAAGACTTTTCAGTCCTTATCTTTGTAACAGGACACTTTGTTGAGTAGAGACTAGAGCTCAGACACTGCTGATGAAGAGGTGAGCTGTCCCCCCAGTTGATTTGTTAGGGCTCAAATAATCTTCTAAGGTATGGACGGGACGACCCTCCTAACCATCTATTCACATCCACTAATTTACCCAAAGGGCAGATGGGTCTTCTTGGAGGAAAAGACTAGAATGCTGAGACTCTGATGCCCATTGAGATTCAAGGATATAATATTATGTTTAAAAAAGTGGGATGACTAGACCAAGGCCACTTTGTGAAAACGATCTAGGCTTCCTGAGAGAGAGAATTCACCATGAAGGGAACATGCAGAAGTCTATCCAACACCGTGACACCAACACAGTGATGCCAACACCAGGACATCAACACCATGACATACCCTGCACCGTGGACGGAATCAAGGTTGGAGGGATTACTGGTTTGAGACAGAATATGGGGCAGCTGCTCCTTAGAAGGGAGGATGGTGAGACTTCCTCTCACGTACTTTGGTCATGTTGTCAGAAGGGACCAGTCCCTGGAGAAGGACAGCACGCTTGATGAAGCAGAGGGTCAGCAACAAAGAGCAAGACCCTCAGTCAGACGGACTGACACAGTGCAGCAACAATGGGCTCAGGCACAGGGCTGACGGCGAGGCTGGCAAGGACCTGGCAGTGTTTTCATTCAGTTGTACCTATGGTCACTATCAGTTGTAACCAACTCAGTGGCACCTGGCTATGACAACACCACGTCTCGTCTCCTCACATACTGTGATAATTTTGAGGAAAAATATTTTCATTTTAATTAGCTTATTGAAGTATGGAGTTCAGATATGGGAATGAGTTGGCTTATCTCTAGCCTAAGCTCTTTGCTTTATGCATAATGAATGGGAACTCAAAGGAGAAAGCCTGCTTGCCAGGTCTCTTTGGGGCCCTGGTGCCTGACTCAGTGCACGCTGGTTGTTGTTAGGTGCAATCAAGTCGGCTCCAACTCATAGCGACCCCGTGCACAACAGAACGAAACACCGCCTGGTCCTACGCCGTCCTCACAATCCTTGCTATGCTTGAGCCCAGTAGTGCAGCCACTGTGTCCATCATCTCATTGAACGTCTTCCCTTTTTTCGCTGACCCTTTGCTTTACCAAACATGATACCCTTCTCCAAGGAATAGTTCCTTCTGATAACATGACGAAAGTAGGTGAGAGGAAGTCTAGCCATTCTTGCTTCCAAGGAGGATTCCGGCCCCACTTCTTCCAGGACAGATTTGTTCGTTCTTCTGGCAGTCCATGGTATTTTCAGTATTCTTTGCCAATGCCACAACTCAAAAGCATCAACTCTTCTTTGGTCTTCCTTATTCATTGTCCAGATTTCACATGCATATGAGGCACCTGAAAATAGCATGGCTTGGGTTAGGTGCACCTTAGTCTTTAAAGTGCCATCTTTGCTCCTCAATGCTTCAAAGAGGTCTCTTGCAGCAGGTTTGCAGGCTGGTTGATTACCCAGGAATTACTGTCTGAGGAGATGGCCTATAAGTTTTTTTTTTTTTTTTTGGAGAATGAATCTCCATCTCGGTTTCCTGAAGCACAACTCGATTAAGAATGATTACTTTTCAGAGCATTGACTTAGAAGCAGCCCCTGGTGGCTTACATTTTAACCACTGTGCTAACTGAGCGGTCCTGCCATCTCTTTACTGGAGGTGGGGGGCTGATAAGCATCTTGGCCCTGGCCCCAGATGACCAGAACCAACAAACGTGGGGGAAAGGTCACATAAAGACATGCAAGACACCTGATGGTTAATTCAACACGCTTCCCTGATAACATGCCCTAATAAACGAACACAGTCAAAGCAAGCTGTAAACTGGCATGACGAGCAAAGACGAACTTGCTAAGAATTCTTACAACAGTCAAGGGACACTTTGAATGCTCAGTAGATTAATTCATTCTTTTGCTATTTCCACTTTGAAGTGATGCAGTCTTCCTGGGGACATTCCGAGAGGTAAAGGAACCAGTCGTTTTACAATGCAAGTTCCCAGATGGCAGAGCCCAGGGCTGGGAGGAGCTCTTTGGGGTGGCGGAAAGCGGAGATGGGTGTTGGGGGGGAGGAGTTGCAGAGCAAAGGTCTGAAGCCAGGCCCACACATGCTCTGGGAAACCTTGTCACTTGGGAGGCTGTGACCATGCACAGTGGGTGCAAGAAAGGCTGAAGGCAAACTGTACCCCCCTCACCTGGTGAGGCTGACCTTTCCTTGTGTTCATGAGTACAGATGGCGTCCCCTGTGAGGCACATCCTTGAAAAGAATTTCCCATTCTCCCTTGGGAGTGACAGGCTAGTGATTTCCTTCCTAATAGAACCTGAGCCCATCTTGCTTGCAAGCCCCAGGCTGGACAAGAGCTCAGGAAATTAGACTGGCCTTCCAGCTCATTTTAACATCCTTGTCCCTGTCCACAGGTGTGGCTGCAGAGGCTTCACAAATCTTGGATGCAGAGGTTTCCTGGAGCTCCTGTGGAGTCCTGGGGTGAGGACTGAGAGAGGGTAGAGCAGACACACTGTGAGTCAGAACTGACTTGGCACCACACAACACACACTTTGCTAGTTAATAACAATAATACTAATAAAGATAAACAAACTCATTGCCATCAAGTTGAATCCAACTCATGGCAACCCCTTCTTGGGTTTCTGAGGTGCTATCAGTACGGAAGTAGATTTCTCAGTCTTCCTCCATCTTCCTTCTGAGGGTGGGTTTGACCCACCAGCCTTCTGGTTAGCCTTAGGCACTACACCACCAGAGCTCCTGCTAGTTAATATGAAGGACAGAATTTCCTAGCTGAGGGACAAGAGCATACGCTTGTCCTGATTTCATATTTAAAAGAAAGAGGTCCATTTCACTACTCCCACATTTTTGACCACTGAGGGAGGAATTTTAAAGCCTGTTGTAGTTGGTCATTCTAGCCTTAAGCCAGAGAAAAGTACTGACTCAACTTCTAAAATCAAGATAGATTCTTTTCAATTTTCGATGTTACCACACTTTATATGGTGAGAATATAATACGTTGCAAATTCACTTGGGGAATAGATATTTTTATAAAATAATTTATCATTATAGCCCACATATGAAGCCACTGGGAATAAAGAAATTTTGATGATAACAGTAATAAAATGTTTTACTTATGCAGTAACTTCCACACTGTTGGGTAGGATGCTGGAGTCCCCGGGCGGTCAGTGAACACAGAGCTGCCAACCGCAAGGTGGGACATTGGAGGCCACCTGCTCCCGCCCGCACCTGGAAGAAACAGAACACTCCTGCTAAACAGCCAGCCGGCAAAAGCCCTGGGTAGCCCAGTTCTGCAGTGACACATGAAGGGTCGCCATGGGCTGGGACAGACTTCATGGAAGCTGACTTGTTTTGCTTTGAGTAGGATGTGAGAATTTTAACCACAATACCTATCTATCCAACTTCATCTTTGGCCAGCTGTTGAACCCTGGGCAAGTTAAACTCTCTAGGGTGCAGTTCTCATGCCTCAAATTGGGGATGCTGCTGAGATCCCCTTCATCAGTACCGCATACCTCGTTTCACTGCACTTCACGGCACTGTGTTTTGCAGATACTGCATATTCTACAAGTTGAAGGTTTGTGGCAACCCTACGTTGACCAAGTCCGTGGGCACCATCCTTCCAACACCATGTGCTCACTTCATGTCTCTCTGTCCCATTTTGGTCATTCTCACAATATCTCAAATATTTTCATTCTGCTATTGCACACTTAAAAGCAGTCGAGTGGAAATGTAACTTTCACGTGCCCTGGGAAACCAAAAAGTTCATGTGACTTGCTTTACTGTGATACTCACTTTATTGTGGCTGTCTGGATTTGAACACACACTGTCTCTGAGGCCTGCCTGGACGGGTGATGAAGATTGAGTCAGACAATGGTGTTTGCCTCACTGAGCGGTTTCTGGCGCATGGAAAGTTCTCAGCAAACGCTAGTCATTATTATGACTATTGATCCAAAGGGAGTTCTGTGGTGTACTGTCTAAGGCACCTGACTGCTAACCAGAAGGCTGGCAGTTCAAACCCACCAGCCACTCCTTGGAAGGAAGATGAGACAATCTACTTCTGCAGTGATACTGCCTCAGAAACCCAAGGAGGGGTTGCTATGAGTCGGGTGTGACTCCACGGCACACAACAACAACAACATTTATCTAAAAGAAAGGAAACGAAAGCAGAGGGAAGTGAAACAGAACTAAAGGGACAGAACTGGGCACCAGGCGCGGCTGGCCGAGCAGGGGCACTGCTTTCACCACTTCCCAGCACTTATTGCAGCCCATGCTCTCAAACATGTTGTAAGCTCCCTAGTCAAGGTAATGTTTGAACCTGTGGACTGAAGTGGCAGGGGCCGCTGAGGGAATCATTAACTCACTGGACTATCTTGTTTGTGACTGTATTGACTCTTACGGGAGTCAATAACATTTTGGGATTAGGACACCTTGTTTCCTGGACATTGCTGGCCAGTCCCAAAATGGAACAGAGAAGAGTGGCCCTCCTGTTTCTTCTATTTCTACAATCAGGTAAGATTTGAGTGTCTTTTATTTTCATCATTACTGTCCCCCCAGCCAGGTGTGGCTAGGCAAGCTACTACTGTTTTCTAACATGGCTTTCTGTGCACCTGGTTTAATTTAGCTCTTGACTCATGAGTGCTCAGTTCAAATCTAATACGTGATTGAAGAATTCTTCAGGAAATTTGTTTATTCGTGTGGTGAAAACTGTCAGGGCATTAAGACGAATGGGTGAGAACAATAAGTGACTTTTCAGATCTCAAAGACTGAGTCCAAATGATTGCTATTTCTGTTGGGACAAAAAGACCCCTACAGCTAATAAAGCAAAGGCTGAGGGCCACTTTGCCTGGTTCTCAGTTTGATTAATTCTGAGTGTTTTTGTGAAGGTTTTCTGTTCCCCTCACTTCAAAATCCAGAACAGGATTTTTCTTTGACTCTTTGACTCTTTGACTCGCCCATGTAGTTGGACTCACCATCCCATTGGCTGTGGCTTACTATCCGTACAGCAGCAATTTGATGTGTGTATTAATTCGACAGGTACTCCATGCTTGAGGAGGCCAGGTGCTTCTTCATAGTTAAGTCACATATATGTCACACACAGATAGATCTCCCCTAGTCCCACCAGCTTTTTCACCTGCTGGGACAAAGCCACCCGATCTATCCCTCCCCACAGTCAAGATGAGGAAATCTAGGTTGGAGACATTACGTTATTTGCCCACTGACCAAACAACTGACCCCAGCAAGCGAAGGAGCCATGATTGAAGCCGGGGCTTTCCCAGCGTGGATCTGGTGTTCTTACCGCCACAGGTCGTTAAACCTTCTGGGACGGATTCTAAACATGTCCCAGGGGTTCCTTCTTTCTTTTTGGTGGCTTTACTGACATAGAACTCACATAGCATACAATGCTCCCACTGAAACCAGACAATCCAACAGCTTTCAACGTATCCATAGGTGTCTGACTGTCACCATGAGCAACCAGCAACGTAGGGGCATTTTTATTACTCCAAAAAGAGGCCTCTTGGCTATCACCCCTCCCAACCGCCCTCCCTCCACTGCAACCACAAACGTGCTTTCTGTCTCCATAGACTGGCCTCTTCTGGGCATTTCCTATCAGTGAAATTGTACAATATGCTAGTGGTCTTTGTAGAAACAGTGTGTAGATATTTGAGATTTGCTTACTAAGTTACCAGAGAAAAGTTCTCAAGCTGCATTTTAAATTAGAATCAAGCCCATCTGGATTCAATGGGAAGAAGTTAAAGAGATACCAAAGATAAGCTAGAGTAGGGAAGATTAAACACAAAGCGTTTTGTGAGAAGTGTGTGTGGGGGAGGGTATGTATATTCTATTTACATCCCAGGAAAGGAGGCGCTGGAAGGGAGTGAACTTAGTCAGTGGGCTACACCCACGTGTCGGAACAGGCTTCTCTGGCGGCTCCTGTGGCAGCCAATGTAGGAAAAAACCCGTCTTTCCCAGGCTCTTTTGGAAAGGAAAGCATTTACTCTCACTTTCCATGGAAGTAACTTCCATCGTGCCAGGGAGCTGAAAAGCCAAGCAGAGAACACTTGTTCTCAGCTGTCCTCAGTGAGAACTGGCTACGCATCTTGCATTTCTCGAAGCACTGCACCTTTCCTTCAAACACAAGCACGCGTGCACATACACACACCACGGTGAATTTAACAATCCCACCCACCAGCCACTCCTCGGAAGGAAGATGAGGCAATCTACTTCCGCAGTGATACTGCCTCGGAAACCTAAGGAGGGGTCGCTATGAGTCAGGGCTGACTCGACGGCACATAACAGCAACAACAACATTAATAAAATAGCCTTGCTTTGGTAGCCATGGGCATCTATGTTTGGTCTGTAATATAAAAATACTTTTCCTACCCAAAATATGTCTTTTATGTTTCTTCATCAACAAATAAACTGTATTATACCCCATTGCCACATGAACTGCTGAGGAGTAAGGAAAAAAATAGCTAAAGTTCTGGCAAATAGAAAAGAAAAAAATATTCTCTTCTGGACTATGTCTTTGGTATGTCAGCTTCTAAGGTAGATTCAGTTGGTTTGTTCTTCAATGTTGTACAGTAGTCCATTGTGTGCACATATGGGTATATCTCTGAGGTAACATAATTCAAAGATGATATGAACAGGAACAGGGATTTCTCTTTTGAATACGCCTGTTACACTTTCCAGAAACTTCAAGAAGTTTAACTCTCTATAAAATACATTTTATAGGGTTGTTGCATGTGTGGTTTTGAAATCACATCCTGCTCCATGGAATTCACCAACACACAACTCTTCTTGGGCTTGAGAGTTTAAATGGAAGAAAATACAGGAGTTCTCAATATGGGCCAAACTACGTGTTTTTCCATGATCTTTTGATACATATATCATGTGCTTTTTGGTGTACTGAGGTTTTAGTTGTACTAACCAACTTTCTGTTCAATAATCCGTCCTTCTCTGTGGAGTCTCTCAACTCAAGGCAGGATGCAGTGGCAGGTGAGGGAGGGGGCGCGCTTGGCATGAATCTCCAGGGGCACGACCCCATGCTCAGCATGTGCATTTCCAGGGTGGGCAGGCAAGGCCTTTCTGGGAGTGAGGATCTGGCCCGGAAGGGTCTTTTCTGTTGGAAAATTCTCTTCAGCATGCACACATGCTCTAGGAGGTCCTGTCTTTAAAACCAGTGCCATGACCACGCACTCCCTCCTGAAACTGCCCCCTTCACAGCCCACTTCTGAAATCCTCCTCTTCTCAGTGTCCCCACTGCCATCTTCCTAGATTCTCTTTAACCCACCCGCCCCGGCCCTGGTCCTCCCCTCCACTCTGTCTGGGCGAGGCCGCCATGGTGCCTGATCCAGTGGAAAGTCTGCGCTCTCCATCTCAGCTCTTCCCACCCCCATGAAAGCCGTCCGCATTCCACACCAAAAGGATGGAGTGGCATCTCCAGACTTGGATTAGCACTGCCAAAGCCAGCTCCGGTGTTATGGGGGGCCTAGAACAAGGGGCACTCTTTGCAGTCTTGTCTGTGGAAAGGTGGCCAGGGACCCTTGGCCACTGTCTGTAGAAAGAGGGAGGAAGCAGCTGTCACACAGATCCTCGGCCTCCAATTTTATCTCACAGAAAAATCACAATGTTAGTCATTGCTGCTGTTAGGCGCTGTCGAGTTGATTCTGACTCACAGACACCCCAAGTACAACAGAATAAAACACTGTCTGGTCCGTGTTTGTCCTGGACTCTGCTTTTCTCTAATATCCCTCCTAAACGCCGGCTACCTGTCATCACAAACTCTCTGCAATTGGCTGTGATGTGTCACTGCACCCAGTATAAAAATGACCTTGTATTGCAGATGAGATTCTGACCCTCCAAGACTTTTTGTCCAAGATGAACCACAATTTAGATGCACCAGTGGCCAAGGAATTGACTGATGCATGGTGACACCACATGTGTCAGAGTAGAACTGTGCTTCACAGGGGTTTCCGTGGCTGCTTCTTCAGAAGTTCATCACCGGGACCTTGTTCCCAGGTGCCTCTGGGGGGACTTGAGCCTCTAAGCGTTCAGTTAGCCGCCAGCGCTGGTAACTGTTTCCCCCACAGTTTAGCTCTGCTCCTGTTTCTCCTTCACAGCACCATCAATTCGCTAACCTCTCTGAGGTGGAACTGTGCTCATTGTGGGTTAAAATAACAATGTTGCAACCAAAGACTGTACGGGTGGAACTCAAACAATGGCCTCCAAGTTCCACTTACGCCCAAGGACTGACAAAACAGCACTAAACCTGGTAATAGCATTGCCACGTTGCACCTTGTCTCTGCTGAAGGTCACGCAGTGCTCCAACATGGCATGGCAGAGGATGGCAGAAAGATCACAAAACTCATTCCGATTTAAGTTTCACACCCACTAATATGATAGCACAGGAGCTGCTCAGAGTTCTAACTCTCCGCTCCAGATAATCTACTAACAGAACACAGTTTCTTAGGGGAACTTTTCCTGAGTAAACATTCTTATCCATGGCCATCCATGCTACTTCCCAAAAGAGCAGGAAGTTGTATTTTGTGGATGCAAAGATAATGATTACAAAGTCATGAGAGCCAAGCAACAATGGCACTGGTGAATCTGGTCAGTTGTCCCACATTCATTCTCTTTACAGGTCAAGGAGACCCCCTGGAAAACTACGTAAATACCGAGGGGGCTTCACTGTTCAGTGCCACCAAGAAGCAGCTCGAAGCAAGAAGCACAGACGAATGCGCCACCAAATGCGAGGAGGAAACCGCGTTCACTTGCAGGTATCTTCACTGTCACGGCAGCTGCGCAGAAACCGTGCTGTTCGAGTCACTGTTATTTTGATGACAAGACCTTTTCTTGTGGATTTACGGGCACAGATAGTACTTAGGAGAAAAGAAGAAATTTCATGGAAACAGAATTTGGAATCTCTTTGCTCCCAGCAGTTTCTGGTTAAGGTTGATCTGCATCCCCTTTAGGAAAATACTTGAAAAGCCAGTTATTTTTATGCATGATATGAATGTGATCACCTATTGTTCTGAGCTCTACTTTTCAATATCATTAATAAATACTTAATGAGGGTCATGTGGATGGCTGTCCCTAGGCCCTAAGGAAGTATGGATAGAAGACCCAATGCCTGGCCTTATGTCTTCATGGTGTACTGAGAGAAACTGGCTATAATGGAAAAATTTACACATATATATAGCAGCTAATTTGAAATATTGATAAGTATCTGGTACACAGATGTGGCAAAATCAACTCAAGATCTATAAAGACTCAGAGGAAAGAACCCTTTTATTTTTCTTAATCCTCCCTACCCTGCAAAACCCTCCTGCTGTGCCCCTCATAATTATGCACTCCTGTTTGTCCTCCATTTCCTCAGTTTGAACGTTGGTCCTCTGGTGTCCCATGGTCTATTGCTCTAAGGGATGTATTACCATTAAGTGTGTGGGTGTGGCATCCTGGTTGAGTAGTCTGTGTGTACATCTTGTTAACTATTGGGCTGAGAGCCCGCCCCTGGGGGTGAGTTTTATTCCAGGCGCTGAATGTATTTCGGAGCCATAGTATAGGGGGTCTCACCAGATTTCATCTGACCAGTAATTCTGGTCATTATTGAGTTTTTGGATTTTGTTCCACGTTTTCCCTCCCACTTTATCCAGGATTTCCAGATTGGATCCTTAACAAGATGTACACTCACCTAGTAGGTTACCGAGATGGGGAGGGAAAGGGAAGGATTAATTTAGGGCTAGTTGGGGCTTACACGCTGACATGGGTAGGGGGAGGGATATACAGAAGGAACAATTCTTAAGAGTTGGACCACTAGAGACGACCTCCTGGAGGAGGCAGGAACTGAGCTAGGCTTTGAAGGCTGGGTAAGATCTTGTAAGCACCAACAAAGAATGGGGTGTTCTGGGTGAGGCAAAGGCATGGCCATGCGTGAACAGGACGATGTGCGTACAGTGAAGGTTCACCTTGAGTCCGGGTGGGAGAGCAGGCGGGGAAGGTAGACTGTGGATGGCTTTGAAGGCCACATTGAGCATCCACGGTGGACCATGCCAATGGGTAAGGAGCAGGGTGGACGTGGTGAGGTGAAGAGACGGGAGTCCTCGGGGAGTCCCATGTAATCATTTTAGGAAAAGTCATTATCAGCAATCAGAGTTGCTTCTTTCCAACACAAAAGCCAACATTCTGGCTCTTAATACAATTTAAAATCTGAGTGAAGAAAGAGTGAAACAGTTGGTACAGAAAGAAAGAGAAACCTTGCAGAGGGAGAAGGTACGTGGGAATGAGAGCAGCTACCCCTCAACACACCCCAAACTGTGTGACAGGAACAGTGCTGAGCTCCCTGATCCATAGGGCCAGTCATCAGCATGGCTGGGGAGTCAGGCTCAGGCAGGAGCCTAGGCGGTCATGACCTAAATGGGAAATGGGGGCCCACCTCCTGATCCTCTCTCTGCAGGTCGTTCCAATATCACAGTAAAGACCAGCAATGTGTGATCATGGCTGACAACAGCAAGTCTTCCACCGTCCTCAGGAGGAGAGATGTCATTTTGTTTGAAAAGAGAAGTATGTACCATGTTTTCTTCTTCTTCTTCCTCCTCCTCCTCCTCTTCCTTCCCTTCCCTGCCCACCCCCCTCTTTTATGTCTTTAATTCAACAAAGGCTCTAGGGTTTGGTGAAATGGAATTTTTAGTCAGGATGGGGGTGGGAGAGGGTAGGGTGGCCACTAACCAGCTTTGTCATTTCACCTCTTGGGTTTCATGTTTTATTTGGTTGAGTTCTACCTCTATGACCCTGAAAATGAGACATTCACAATTTTGTTTTGTTATTTTAGAGAGGGGGTGAGGAGTCTGAAAGTTCCTTATGATCTTGACTTCTTGTTCTGATGGGAGACTGCAGCCCTCGGCCACAGTAACATTAGGATACAGACAGGCTCCTTACTGTAGTCTGTAATTTCCCCCTTTTTTGGGGGGGTCAAGTCTTTACTGCCAACAGACAATGAAATGAGGGGATCCCATTTCCTCTTCCATCTGACCACTTGTGCTGTGGAGTCAATTCCCACTCACAGCGCCCCTAGAGGACAGAGTAGAACTGCCCCACAGGGTTTCCAAGGCTGTAATCTTTACAGATGCAGGCTACTTCATCTTTCTTTGGTGGGTTTGAACCTCCAATCCTATGGTTAGCAGCTGAATGCTTTAACCACCACACCACAGTTTCCTTTGAAATGCTGTCTAGATAGACCCATTGTTTAGGACTGAGAGCTGGCCTGGATTCCTGTGGAAATCACTAGTCTTTTAACACATACAGAAGCCCCATGGGGTAAATGTGGAGATTTTAAGAAACTATCTCCTATTCTTTGTTATTTGTTAGGTGTTCAAATCATTTATAATGACAACTTAGCATTTCAAATATTCTGTAGCAGCGGATGTTGAAGGAGGCCAAAGCCAAAACAGCCAAGCCAGATGCTGTGCACTTGCTCTGGCCTCTCAGTGCCTCTGGGTGTCACAGTGGAACCACGCTCCATGGAATGGACTGTGCTTCGGGGCCCCTGCCAAGCAGACTGCCAGGCCTTCCTTCTGAGGTGCCTCGGGGCGGCTTCAAACCGCCAGTCTTCTGGGCAGTGGTTGAGCTGCGTTCTGCCAGGGGCCCTGCAGCATCATTTCCGTGCAGTCTTCACAGTGGTTCTTCACTTTCTCTCCAGTGTCTCCGCAGAACTCCAAACCAGATTTCCCAAAGCACTTCGTTAGGCAGAGTTATGGCTGTGCATTGAGTCCTCATCTCAGGCTTTGTTAGCTGGGCCCCTACTAGCCTCTTTCCTTACCCCGTTTGTCTCTAATTCCCGAGATTAGTAAACCTTATCTGCTGCAGTTAACAGCTGTTACCAGGAGTGATTAAAAGCTGAGATAACTAGGCTGACCCACTGTCCTCCAGATGAGTAGCATACATATGGTGGGAAGCTCCTTACAAAACACAGACATTTAATACATCACTGATAAATCGTTAGGAGCTCTGGTGGCATAGTACCTAAGGGTTTGACTGCTAATCAGAAGACTGGAGGTTCAAACCCACCAGCCACTCCTCGGAAGGCAGGTTGGACAATCTACTTCTGTAGTGATACCGCCTCAGAAACCCAAGGAGTGGTCGCTACGAGTCGGATCCAACTCCACAGCAGTGAGTTTTTTTTTTTTTTTTGTAAATCGTTAACCAAAAGGAACATGGGGGTGACTGCTAGCACCAGTCTGAAGGTGCTTCTGTTCAAGGTGACAGGAAGGACTGAAAGGTTATGTACACGGGGATGGGTACATACAAACAAGGAGAGATCAAAAGTCAAAAGCTCAGGTAGCAAGGGTGCTTGCTTCTTTGCTGGAGACATTAACCCTTTGCCAGATTCCCTGCCGACACATTTCTGGGGAGAAGTCGATGGCAGCTCATGATGCCACCTGCCTCTTCTCTCCTTGCCCACTCCTGCCCCCATCCAAGCCCCCAACGGCTCCAGCTGGGCCACTGCTGTGGTTGGCAGCCTGAGCAGCCAGCGACTGCTTTAAAATATAGCGTCCCTGCTCAGAACCCTTGAGTGCATCTGGAATAAACTCCCAATCTAACCAAACACGAGTGGTCATCAGCACTTGCGTCATGTAACCCCCTGGACCACCGTCTGCTTGACTCACAGCCTTCTCCCTGGCCGGTATCTCTGTTCCGCAGACTGGCCGGCCATACCCCTCCCTCTGCCCTGAACCCTCTTTGTCACTGCCCTGCCCGAGGCCAGCTGCTTCTCCTCTTTCAGGCCTCAGCCCAGTGTCACCTCCTTTTAAAAGCTTTCCCTGGTTCCTGGGCCTCCCTTGCACAACGCCCCTTGAGTGTGCAGTTTTGTAACATGAACCCACGTATCAAAATGTCATAATCAATCTAAATGAGCAGGCATTTGTGATCATTTTACACGGTGCTGGGGTAAGAGCGCAGCTCGCTACACACATACTAGAAGTGGGACCCCCAGGTGGGATTGACTGGCTGCTGACTGAAAGGTTGCAGGTCTGAGTCCACCCCGAGGTGCCTTGGAAGAAAGGCCTGGTGACCTACTTCCAAAAATCCAGCCGTCAGAAGCCCTGTGGAAGAGATTCTCCTCCTTTGACACACAAGGGTCACCGGGAGGAGGAACTGACTTAATGGCATCAGCTTTTTTGTTTTTATTAGAAGGATTTTTTCTCGGTAATTCATCAATTTTAAAGTCTGGTTAAAGAGGGGTGTCAAAAAAGATGACATACATATAACTTAGACATTTTATATTTTCACTGAAAACATAAGTTAATGTTAATATTTTTTGATGGTGGGCAGATTTTTTTTCTTTTTTTAAATCTAGGTCCACCAATGAGGGTGACCAGTTGCATTTCTCACGTATCTGTCTGCCAGCGCATTGCTTGCAGTGGTCACTTTATTTCTCTCGGAGGTGGAGCAGGCTCTGGAGACTTTCTCTGATCAGTGTGACAGCAGAACACCTTCGAGATTTTTATGATTTTCCTCCAAACTCCTAGAATCGACTTGCCCTCGCTGGATCTGACAGCAAATTCTAAAATGAGTCAGCTCTTTCAAGTCGTTAAAAGCATCGACTTTGTCAAACACTAACAAGCAGAACGATTGCTCTGTTTCTTTTCACCTTTGTGTCTCAGTTCAGATCATTTTAAATGAAACATACCTGGAATGAAAGTCTGACAATAGAAACAGTGGGCTCTTGGTAAACATATAATCTGACTAACAGGAACCAGTAGGGGTGGACACACTAGAAAGTGGCCTTCCAGCCATGGCACCCAGCTGACCCCTGTGGGCATCGGACAGTGCTTTAAAGACAGGATGGAGCCCATTGGCTAATCGGGGTTGACTGACTTCTACTGTAAACATTTAACATAGACCAATTTCATAAGCCTGGTTGGCACTTTTTTGTATCTACCATGCTGGCTGCCTCAGAACACAGACACGGCCTGGATCTGTCTCAGCCTCGTCCACCCTGTCTCAAACCCCATCTCCCCCGCCCCCCATTATCTTCCCCTTCTTTCTCTGTAACCCTTATCCTCTGGAAGGTATTTCCTTTCACAATTAGTTACTGTCATCACACCCATCCAGACGCCACCCAGCAGGAACTTGGCCTGTTCTGGACTCTATGGTATCCCCAGTACCAGGCGTGTGCACAGAGGGGCCCAGCAAATAGCTTTAGAATAAATGGATCCAAGTGACAGACAGCTTTGTCAACAGCAACTCTTCCAGAGATACCAAAGATGGTCCTGTTCGACAGCGGGAAGGTGGCGGGGGCTGCTTCCTTTTCCCTTCTGCAGCAGGTGCCCAGGCAGCCCGGCCTTCCCCTGAGACGGCTGGCTGGCTCACGTCTGGGCTTCCTCCCAGTGTACCTTTCAGAGTGCAAGACCGGAAACGGAAAGAACTACAGGGGCACGACGGCCAAAACCCGCGACGGGGTCGCCTGCCAGAAGTGGAGCGATGTGACTCCTCACAGACCCAAGTAAGGCCTTTGCTTTGGACTCTGTTCCACCACTGTGTTCAGAACACTTCCGTGACCACTCACCTAATCAGACAGATGACAGGGGGTAGGAGAAAACTTTCTGAATGCTTGTCTTAGTTTCCTAGTGCCTCTGTCACAGAATATCACCAAGTGGGGGGCTTTAAGGAACAGAAACTTAATGTCACACAGTTCTGAGTCTGGAAGGCCATCAGCAGAGCCATCCTCCCTCTGAATGCTCTAGGGGAAGACCGTTTCTTGTCTCTTCCAGCTGCTGGTAGCCCCAGGCATCTGGTGGCTGGGAGGTGCATCTTCACAAGGTGTCTGCCTTCGCTCTGTGTGACTCGGTCTCCGCATGTGTTCTCCTCTTCTTTAAGACACTACTCAGAAGGGATTAGGACCAGCCTCCTCTGGTATGACCTCATTAAAGGATCACATCTTCAGAGAAAGACCTATTTCTAAATTTCTAAATAAGGTCAAGTTCAAAGGTACTGAGGTCAGAAGTTCAACATATCTTTTTTGGGGATACAATTCAATCCATAATGATGTTGCTGTAGAATAGTTCAATGATTTCTAACACAAACAAGGAAGACAGTTGCCCCCTATCTACTCTCGTGCATAGAATTCTCTAGAAAACCTACAACACAGATGGCTGCCTAGAGACAAAGAAAAATCAAACCACAGATTCTAGGTGCAGTCGGAGAAAAGATGAAAGATGGCTATGTGTAGAACTGAGCTAGATGACTCAACTGTACCAAGCTGGAACTCTGATTACATGTTCCCCTCAATATTGAGCCCAATGAAGGGAAAGAGTAAGGAAAATATAAATAAAAAATGCATTATCTCACAGCTCTTACTACTTATTTTAGTGCCATCCCACCCACCAAACATGACATTATGTGGCCTGAGTCTCAGTAACAATACTCATCAACGAGGAATGTAGTATTTGCACCCCCAGAACAAGTTTTTTTTTTTTTTTAAATTGTAGCACTATGAGCAAATCCAATTTGCCCTATTAGACATACTAGATATTAGGCTCACCTCTGTGATGAACTCATAAAACCAAACAGCCAAACCACAGATGTTGGGGGCTCATGAGAAAATCTAGACCCCTCCTCCATTACAGATCAGTAACTGAGGCCCTGAGAGGGGGGTCATTTACTGAGCCCCAAAATACGTACATGGAAGAACCAGAAGCAAAACCTTTCTATGCTAGACTCCAAGTCTCGTGCTTTTTCTCCAGTTTGTTATTTCCACAGAGCAACTCATCATTAGAACTGAAAATGAGGTTAACAACTCCATGCTCAACCCCAGTTAATTCAGGCTGTAAACTGTGTCCCAAAGACCACAGTGTTTGGAATCAGATGGCTCTGCCTCTTGCCTTGATCTGACACTTACTCATTGTTCCCACATCCCAAAAAAACAAACCCACTGTGGATTCTGACTCACAGTGCCCCTAGAGGACAGAGAAGAACTGCCTCGTAGGGTTTCCCAGGCTGTAATGTTTATGGAAGCCGAGTGCCTCATCTTTCTCCCACTGAGCAGCTGGTGGGTCCAAACCACCAACCTTTTGGTTAGCAGCCGATTGTCTTAACCATTGTGCCACCAGAACTCCTTGTCCACATGCAGGCAAGCTTTATTTTGTTTACCATGGCTGCACCTCAGTTTCCGTCTGTAAACAGGGATAATAATGTCTTCCCAGCAGGGTTTGTAATGACGAGTCCATGAGACAACACAGCAAGATTTCAATGTAATGCCCACCACATAGTTCACACAGACTAGACAAATGGTGTTAAACCACTATTATGTTCCAGAGAGAAGGGCAATTGAGAAAAGCAGGGGTTCAGAATAAATCAAATCCGACAGGCTCTGAAGATCTATTTTCACTGACTGGTATGAAAATGGGAACTTGGCATAGTGCCTGTGGCATTCGACTACTAACCAGAAGGCTGGTGGTTCAAATCTACCAGCCGCTTCTCGGAAGGAAGACTGGGCAATCTACTTCCACAGTGATACTGCCTCAGAAACCCAAAGAGGGGTCGCTATGAGTCAGATCCGACTCGACGACAGCAAGTTTTTTTTTTTTTGGTATAAAAATGCTCTGGCTCTCCATGTAAGACTTGCTTCTCAATACAGCAATAACAGTACCATTAGCTACTGCGCCAGAAACAGCCAGGCACCAAGACTGACACTGCTGTGTGCGGCATTGCCAGAACGTGCTGGCGTGACAGAAACATGACGAGATGGGCAGCAGGCAGCAGGCGTCCCGACGTGCTGATGACACGCTCAAAGCGCTTTTCTTCCGCTCTGCACAGGTTTACCCCTGATAAATTCCCTTCCGAGGGGCTGGAGGAAAACTACTGCCGGAACCCAGACAACGATGAGAAGGGCCCGTGGTGCTACACCACCAACCCGGAGCTCAGATTCGACTACTGTGGCATTCCTGAGTGCGAAGGTCAGATGATTCCAGATAACACCCACAGCTGCCCTTGCTCTGTAAAGAACTGGGTGCCAAGCCAGTGCCCACACAGACATGATTAATGATCAATGAGTGTGGCGACTTACAAAACGGAACAACTGGGTGCCCCTCTTGGAAAGGAAAAAGTATTATCTCAGAACTTCCCCTCCCCCAGCACTGTCTTAAGTAGTTTTTATTAACGTGTTATTTGAAGGTGTCCCAATATAAAACCCAATCGAAACTGCACATGAACTTCTTACTCTTGTAACTCATACACAATCTAAAACCAAAAACAAAATTTGCTATGAAATAATTAAAGGAAAACTACCAAAACCAAACCCACTGCCACTGAGTTGATTCAGACACATAATGACCCTACAGGACAGAGGAGAACTGCCCCAGAGAGTTTCCAAAGCCGTAAATCTTTATGGAAGCAAAGTGCCTCATCTTTCTCCCATGGAGCAGTGGGAGGATTTGAACCACTCATCTTTTGGTTAGCACCTGGATGCTTTAACCACTGAACCACCCGAGCTCCATAACATAAAACTACAGAATCATTAATATTCAAATAAACTATATTAATTTCATGTGGCAGATTTTGTTGTTTTGTTCAAACTAAGCAATAAACCAATTCTTAAGTCAGCAACCCATTATTTTCATGGTTGACCGATGATAGTACACTTCAGAGTTCAATGCTAGAAAATCAAAAAGCATTGGTATTGAAAAAATGTTCTTCAGTTCCTATTAACTGTTACATTTACAGCTGCAAGCGGGAATGGATGAAAGGATTTCTACCACACCTCTGCTTGCACAGTGGAGGTGGCACTAAGTGACAACTCAATCCTCCCATCATTTTATCTACTTGAACCATGGGCGATCCTTTATCTGTAGGTCCTATGGCCCTTCCTTGACATGACTGCACGTTGTTTTATTTATTTATTTTTTTACTGTGATTTGGGTGAAGATTTACAGAGCAAATTCACTTTCCATACACCAGTTCACATGTACTTTGTCTTATGTCATTGACCACAGTTTACCACAATGTAACAGCTCCCTTCCCACTTCCTCCCCATAGTTACCTCTTCCCAGTGTCCATCCCTCCATACACTCCTGGCCCCTGTCTGTCTCCCTGTGC